CGCGCCCACGCGCCCCCGGGCCTCACGCCGCCCTCCGCGCAGGTGAGACGGGCCATGACGTTCCACGGCCACGGCTTCCTGCCCTTGCCGCTCTCCGACGTGGCGCCGCTCTCGGGCCACGTGTACTCCGGCTTCGGCTTCCGCAGCACCCAGGACAGCGGCCAGCTCTACTCCCGCGCCTCCGCGGTGCGTGCTGCCACCCCACAGCCCTGCAGCCGCCGAGTCCGCGGGGGGCTAAGGCTGAGCGGGGTCACCAGCTGACCTGGCCTTGTCCCCCAGGAGGGGCCCTGTGAGGTGTCCCTGCAGCAGGGGCGGGTCATGCTGAGACTCATGAGGACCGAGGTGAAAACTCAAGGGGGCTTTGCAGATGGCGCCCCCCACTACGTGGCCTTCTACAGCAACAGCACAGGGTAAGCTGCCCCCCACCGCCACAGGCTGGGGGAGGCCCGGCGGTGGGCGCAGGGCTGCAGAAACTGCTCCCCCAGGGTCTGGCTGTACGTGGACGACCAGCTTCAGCAGACGAAGCCCCACCCGGGGCCGCCCCCCCGGCCGGCGCCCCAGCCAGTGGAACCCCCGCAGCTGCTTTTGGGCGGCCTCCCCAGGTCCAGCACCTCCCGCGACGGCCACAACTTCAGTGGCTGCATCAGCAACGTTTTTGTGCATCAGTGAGCTGGGTTGGGACTGGGGTGGGGACTGGGGGGCGGGGGGGGCACCCTGCTGACCCCGCCACCCTGCAGGCTCCAGGGGCCTCAGCAGGTGGCCGACCTGCAACAGAGCGCGGGCGGCGTCAACGTGAGCTACGGCTGTGCCCCCCACACGCGGGCCTCGGGGCCAACCCCGCGAGGACTTCAGGCCACCGAAGCCAGGAAGGTGGGTTCTGGGGGCACGGGGGTGCAGCAGGGAGCGGGCCCGCCCACACCTGTCTCCCTCCTTGCCCCAGGCCTCTCGCCGGAGCCGCCAGCCCGCAGACCCGGCCTGCGCCCCGCCAGGCCCGCTCAGGGCCCTGCCAGGAGCCTACCAGCTGGGCGGGGCCCCGTCCAGCCACCTGGAGCTCACAGTCCCCGGGCACTGGTAGGCGGGGGAGGCGTGAGGGGTGGCGGCCGGGTGTGGAGGCGCCCAGACCGACCCTCTGCCGGCTTCCAGGTCCCACCTCTCCTTGCTCGTTCGCCCTCAAGCCCTGCGGGGGCTGCTGGCCCTGGTGGCCCCCCTGAAAGGTGGCACCCCCTCCCTGGTTCTCTCCCTGCACCACGGCGGACACTTTGTGGCTCAGGTGGAAGGCCCTGGGCTCCGGCTTCGTGTCCAGAGCCACCAGCGTGCACGGGCTGGCCGGTGGCACTCGGTGAGTGGGGTCAAGGGGACCCGGCTGGGCCCGGAGGCCTCGGCCCTGACCACGGTTCCCACCCAGGTGTCCGTGCGGCGGAGGAGGAGTCAGCTCCAGCTGGTGGTGGACGGGGCCAGAGTCTCGGGCCAGGCTGGGCCCGGCCAGCGGCTCCAGGCCACAGAAGGCTCCCTGCCCCTCTCGCTCTTCGTGGGAGGGGTGCCCGCCGGCCGCCACCTGCTCCCGGTGAGGCCCACCCCGGCCCAGCACTGCCGCCGGTCAGGCTGCCCCTCGCGCGGGGCCTGACCCCACACTGCCCTGACCCACAGGTGGCCGGCGGCTCTGGCTTCAGGGGCTGCGTGAAGAGACTGAGACTGGACGGCAGGCCCCTGGGGGCGCCGAGGCGGCTGGCAGGGGCCACGCCCTGCGTCTCTGGGCCCCTGGAGGAGGGCCTGTTCTTCACAGGCGCTGGGGGCGTCCTCAGTCTCGGTGGGCCTGGGGCCAGGGGGGTGGGGGGGCGGGAGGGCTGCCCCGCAGGGCTGCCCCTCACGCCGGCCCCTCCCCTCAGCCCTCCCCGGGGCCACGCTGCCCGTGGCGGGCCTGGAGCTGGAGGTTCGGCCTCAGACGGCCACTGGCCTCCTGCTGCACCTGGGCCGGAGCCAGGCACCTCCCTACCTGCAGCTGCAGCTGCTGGACAAGCAGGTGAGCCCAGAACGGCCCGGGGCCCAGCCTCCCCGTGAGGCTGGCAGGTCCCACTGACCAGCCGCCCCCACCCCAGGTCCTGCTGCGGGCAGACGACGGCACAGGCGTGCGCTCCACCTGGGTGACGCGTCCCGCGGCGCTGTGTGACGGGCAGTGGCACCGGCTGGCAGGTGAGCAGAGCTGCCCTGGCCACAACCTCCTGCCGGAGCCGGGGCCCTGGCAGGGGTAGTCACCGGCGCCTGTGCCCACAGTGACCCATGGAGCGCGCGAGCTGAGGCTGGAGGTGGACGGCCAGCGCAACAGCACGCTGGGCCACTGGCCCGCAGCCCCCGCCGGCCGGGCAGAGCTGCACCTGGGGGGCCTGCCCGGTGAGTGGCTGCGCCCGCAGGGTGCCCTGGGACCCCACACCCCAGGGTGCTGCCCCGGGGGTGCCGAGGACAGTCCTGTCCAACCCATCCCCTGCCTTCCCTGCACCCCAGAGCCCACGGACGCAGCAGCTGAGCTCCGGGCCCGGACGCGCCCTCGGCCTCCCGCCTTCCGCGGCTGCGTGCGGAACCTGGTGGCCAACGGGTCCCCGGTCCCCTGGCTCCACGCCACGCACGTCCAGGGGGCCGTGGGGACCGGTGGCTGCCCGGCCGCCTAGCGCAGCTGGCCGTCGCTGGCCCGGCCCGTGCCCAGTGAGGGCAAGGCATCGACTTGCAGGCGGCTTGGGGTCTGAGGGGTCCCCCTTCTCGACCTATTAAAGAGTGACCTGTCCACCAGAGTGCTGACCTTCAGTGGGGGGCACGCGGAGCCGGGGCTGGCAGACAGACTTTATTGGGGTGTGGGACAGGGCTGTGGCCGCGCGGCCGCCAGGGCTAGTCCAGGCTCATGTCCTCCTCCTCGTCCTTCTTGTCCTTCCCGTCGCCCTCCGGCGGCTCGGGCCTGGCGCTGTTCTGCATGGCTTTGGCAAACGCCTCCACGTCTGCAAGGCACGAGCCGGGTTGAGGCGGCCGTCTGGCCGCTGGCACAGGGCCGGGCCGGGGAAGAGGCCAGGCCCACGGGCCGGGTACTCACCGCCCTTGTTGGCAGCCTCCACGGCCTCTGTGGGCAAGCCGAACTGGCACATGAGGGGGCCCAGCTGCCCCGAGGCCAGGGCGGCGCTGAACATGCCCAAGGCCTGCAGGGAAGAGCCAGTGCCAAGTCCACGCCGGGGCCCACCTGACCCCCGGCAGGCTCCGGCGCAGGGCGAGGGCGGCGGCCTACCTGCTGGAACTGGGGCGAGGTGAGCGTGTTCTGGATCTCCTCGGCCGTCTGGGGCAGCGACTCGCCCGAGGGCAGGTAGGGCAGCAGGCGCTCCTGCACGTCCGCGTTGGCGAGGATGGGCGCCATGATCTCGGGGGTCAGCACGCTGGCCAGGTCAACTAGGGGCAAGCGCATGGCCTCAGAGGCCTCGGGCCAGTGCACGGGCGCCCCGTGCAGGCCTTGTGCAGAGCGTGGGCCCGGGGTGTTACCCTGCTGGCCGCCGCCTGGCCCGGCCGGCACGTTCATGGTGGCCAGGATGCTCTGGAGATCGCTCAGCTGAATGGGCTGCGTGGGGCTGGCGGCCGTGCTGGCGCCGCTGCCCGAACTGGGCGCAGGACTCGGGCTGGTTGCAGAGGCGGCTGCCGGAGCAGAAGGGGCGGGGGTGGCGCGCGCAGAGGAGGCCGTGGAGGACGGGGTGACCGCTGCCGACTGGCTCCGGGAGCTGGAAGGGCGAGGGGCGCTGGAGCGGCCAGGCATCCCGAGGCGCCCAGGACAGTCCCGCCCCAGGGTGCTCGCTGCCAGGCACAGGCAAGAGCCTGGAGCCCCGGAGCCACCCGTGCGCAGCGGGCAGGCTTCCGGGCTGGCTCACCTGGACGAAGAGCTGCTGGCCGGAGGAGCCCCGCTGCCCAGTAAGCTGGCCAGGCCCGGCCCGGTCAGGGCCCCCAGCCCACCTAGGAGCAGGAGACGACAGCCCGGATGTCACGGTCCCCTGGGGGACGAGCCCGGCCAGGGCTGGGGGCCTGCAGCCGCCAGGCGGGGTCTCAGCCGGGCGGCCCCCGCCCTCCCGCCCGCCCCCAGCACGGAGAGCTGCGGCTGCCCCGGCAGGCAGAGGCCCGGGGATCCCCCGCCAGCGCCTTACCGAGGCCCCCGAGGCCGGCGGGCCCGATGAGCTGCATGAGCTGGCTGTGGCTCATGTTCCCGAGCAGGCTCTGCAGACCGCCCTCCCCTGGAAGACAGAGCGGCTGGCACCCCGCCCCGGGCCGCGCCGCCCAGCCCTGCGCCCGCCCGGCACACCCGGGGCCACGTTACCACCCAGCGCGGAGAGCTCGTGGCCGCCGCCGCCTCCGGCCCCCAGGGCCCCGGGCATCGGCGGGTTGTTCAGACACTCGTTGACCTTGCGGCAGTGCTCCTCGTCCTGGTCCGTCTTGGGCTCCTGAGGGCGAGGCCGAGGCTGAGCACAGCCCACCCTCCCCGCCCCGCGGGGACCAACAGCAGGCCCTGGGCGACGACCCCAGCGCCGTCCTCCACGGCCCCAGCCGGACGTGCAGTTCTCGGGAGCAGAGTGGCCCCGGGCTGCCCCAGGCCGCACCCCACCTCTGCGGACGCGCGGGGGCACACCAGGGTGCAGGGTCCCTCCTCCCCAGCGAGCCGACGGCCAAGCTTTGGCACACAAGCCCGCCCGTGTTCCCTACAGGGCTGGGCACAGGACGGACAGGCCTGGCGGCCACCCCAAGACCAGCACTGCCCCCAGGCGCCTCATTTCCATAACAACGCGGGGAGCCTCGGTGGCTACCCCGCTGCGGGTCTGTGCAGCAAAGCAGCAAACGCCCGTCGGGTCGTTTCTGACCCAAACTGGCGCCGAGGCAGAGACTGGGCCGGGCCGCCCACCTGCATCCAGAAGAAGAGGCGCTTGGACCCCGCCTTGAACTTGAGCACGTAGACGCGGCCGCTGGGGCACTGGGGCACGCGCTTGAACTCGCAGTCGTCGGGGAAGATGATCAGGTCCTGCAGGGCCACACCGGGGCGCTGAG